CTCGTTTAAAAGAATTTTATGGCTATTGGCCAAAGAACGGAAACGGTTTGGAGAATAGAATTCTTTATCACAAGAAATGCATTGACGTCGCCAATGCAACGAGAAACAAGAATGAAGAGATGGGAGCATACTTTAGCTTAGGATTACTGAATGAAAAATTAAATCAGTACCATGACGTTATTATTGACACCAAGAAATGTCTTGCCATTGCAAGGGAAATTGGTGACAAAAGAGTTGCAATGTCATCGTGTCTATCGCTAGCGAGAACATATCGTGAAATAAAACTGGAAAATGAAGCTATTGCTTACTGTAAGAGCTGTATAAGCATCGCGAAAGAAATCGATGAAAAAGCTGTTGAGATGACAGCATGTTTTATCGTTGGAAATTTATATTTCTCTCAAAGCAACTATAAGGAAGCTCTTGCGTACAGCGAAAGAAGCCTTGAGAATACAAAAGCAATAGGTAATAAACGATATGAATCGATGGTTTATTTGTTAATTCAGGACTGTCAGTACCATATGAGTGAATACAAGGATGCGGTTGTCACTGGTCAAAAGACTATAGCCGCTGCAAAGGACATTGGAGATAAACTTGGTGAAAAGGTTGCGTATGCACTTCTCGGAAAGACATACGAATTATTAAACCAGCATGAGGATGCTGTAGATTGTACAACAAACAGTCTAGAGCTTGAAATCAAAAGTGGTGACAAGATCTCGGCAATGACAGAATATTATTCACTTGGTAAGATCTACCACTCATTTGGTCATCATGACAGCGCTATTGCGTATGTAATGAAATGCATTGACATGGCAGAAGAAACTGGAGAGAATAGAAGTAAAAGTCATGCATACCTTTTACTTGGAGACATTTACAATTCGTTGAACAAATTTGACGAGGCTGTTATGTACCTTAAGAAATGCCTCAGCAATTCAGAACCTGTGCCAGTAGAAGAAAAGTTAGATTTTCAAGCACATTTTTTACTTGGCAAGGTGCATGTGTCAAAGAATCAGTTTGATACAGCTATTATCCATTTAACAAAGGCCCTTGAATTTGCAGGATATAATACGAAAGAGGAGAGAGCATACGTGTATCTGGGACTTGGAGATAGTTATCTACAAATTCAACAACACGATAAAGCTCGCGAGTATCTTCGAAAGTGTCTCGATATTGCAAAGAGATCTGGTAACAGACGTGCTGAAGGCGACGCGTATATGTTGCTGGGGAAGACCTTCGATTCACTGCATAAAGAGAGTGATGCTATCTTACATTTAAAAAAAGGCATTGAAATTTTGAGAGAAAATGGTTTAGTGCAGCATGAAATGCAAGGCCATTTGTTATTGGGGAAGATGTACAGGTCTAGTAAGAATTACAATGAAGCCATAGAGTCCTTGAAAAAGGCTATCGTTATTGCATTGAGAACCGGAGACAAGAACATGCAAAAGGGTGTGTATTT